AAAAAATAAGTTTTAGTTTCTAAAAGTATTTTTAAATTAAAATTCATAATTTTCTGAAAAGAATGAGGTATTGCACACCAAAATCAGATTTAAAATGAAATAGTTATGAATTTTCAAAGTTTAAAAGTAATTAAATAGTTTTAAAATAATTAAAAATAATTTCCATTTAAAATAAATTATTAAATTAGGTTAAAAAAAATAAAAATAAATAAATAAATATTAAAGCTTCTGATTTTAAAATGAATAAACATATAATAAAAATAAGATTATTTTTAATCTAAATATTTTATATTTATTATTTAAAAAAAATAAAAATATTATTTAAATAATTCTATTTTAAAAAGATTTAAATTAAATATATAAATTAATTTTAAAAAAACAGCGGCATACGTGGCATCTGTTGATTGACAGATTCAAAATGCGGTGGCGGTGCCAATCATTGGTAATGACTGGCACCGCCATCAATCATTTCCTAATGATTACTGAAACGATGGGGTCCATGCAGTTTCATTAATAGCGTCAGCGCAGATCAGATGCCGTCCGATCCAGTGCAGTTTGAAAAGGACGGCTGCGATGGCGTTGGATGAGAGCCCATTCAATGGAGTGAGAGGCGGCGTTCTGACCAACCGCGGAAAGTCGAGATCGAAGCCGTTGATTAAGAGATCAACGCCTATGATTTCATGCAGTTGAACAGAGCCGAATCAAAACCCTAAAGCAAATAATTCATTCGTTCTTGATAATGGCTCAATCAAATGATATGAAATTTTAAACATTAATCATAGATATGAAGAGCATTCATAGGATATTGTTTGTGCGACCTAAAATGCGCTTATTGAAATGTTGTTTAATCCTACGTGTAGTGATCTAGGTCTATAGTTTTTGAGATATCTAACTGTTAGATCTTAAGGATATTGGCACAGTTGAGCTTGTAGATTATCCTCATCAAATCTATTTTTGAAACTGCAACCAAACGAGCTCTAAATCAAACGGATTTGGCCTTGGAATGATTTTGAACTCGGTTGGCTGGGGATCTCGCCCCCGGTGAGCTTTTGGCAGCGAGTTTAGGTCGAGAAAGGTGTAAGGAGTTGAGGGGATCCCTCACACAAAATATCATGAACTATGGTGGCTTGGAGAGAGAGGAAGAGCAAAAAGATCTCAAGAGAACCCTAATTTTTGCTATTCATAGACCTAGGACTTGGATGGATGGCCTAGATCACATCTAGTGTTAATTAAGGGAGAAATAAGGGTGATTAGACGGGATTTGAGCCAAGGGAGAAAAATGAATGGTTTAGATGCTTCAGTAGGGTTAATATGGACTTAAATAGGTCAAATTGACCAAATAGAGACTTGGGTTGACCCTTGACATTGACTTGGTCAACCTGGTAAAATAAGTCCAATGGATGGGGGTTTGAGCCCAAGAATAGGTTTGAATTGAACTAGAACTTGAATTGGACTTATTAGGGCTCAATGGGTCAACTTGGGTTGACTTGGTCAACCAAGTTGACCGAAGACATGGGTTTGAGCTCAATAAACTTGGTTTGAACCATGAAACTCTAAGGAGGTGAGATTTGAGCTCGAGAAACTATGAAATTGATTTGGGATCAAATGGGATGAGTTTGGGTCAATTCGTGTTGACCTGATCAATCAGGTTGACCCACGGCCTAGGTCTGGGCTCAACAGACTCATTTTGACCCACTGAATTGAATGGGGGGGATCTTGGGATCTGGCTTGGTCAATTTGACCAGGGCAACCCTCTTGACCAAAGGTTTGAAAAAAAATCATGGTCAACAACCTATAAATATAAAATTTCACATAAAAATTTGTTTGACTTATTAAACATATCATCATATCATTAGTGTCTTTATGTTAAATCATGCGGGATTTTTTGCACTCTATCAAGAATATAGTTGGGTTTTATATATGCCATAATTATGATTGAACTTTCAATTAAATTATGTTATGGTATCATATAATTATATACACAAAATTATATATAATTATTGTATGAGTAAAAATTAAGCAATATATATAATATTCTATTCATATGATTCGTTCTTATTTCAATTGCACTTAAAGTTAAAAAAATAACCCCTCATTGCCAGCAGATGATACCATAGGTCATGTAAGAGTAGAAAATATGAATGAGATACTAACCACTGAAATAGCATCCAAAAGCTCCATGAAAAGCCTCCTAAGCATCCTCCTCTTCTTCCTCCATATCTTCATTCTCTCTCTCTCTCTCTCTCTCTCTCTCTCTCTCTCTCTCTCTCTCTCTCTCTCTCTCTCTCTCTCTATCTCTCTCTCTCTCTCTCAATGGAACTTTTATTTGGTCCGGTGAACGTACGCTCCTCTACGTTCGGCCACCAATATTTTAACGACACGTAGCATGAAGAAAAGTCGCCGACCCGACCCGCTATTTTTTGGGTTCTAGCGCGTGCGTTTTTTTAAATCCTTGACGAGTCGAACAACGTCCCATCACCTTTTCGATATATTTCAAATACCTAGCAAATACCGAGTTGTACCTAGTTTTTTCTAGCAATATCGAGCAAATACCTAGCAATACCGAGCAAATCCCTAGCAATACCGAGCAAATCCTGAGCAAATACTGAGTTGTACCGAGTTATACCTAGTTTTTTCTAGCAATACCGAGCAAATACCTAGCAATATCGAGCAAATCCTTAGCAATCCTGAGCAAATACTGAGTTGTACCGAGTTGTACCTAGTTTTTTCTAGCAATACCGAGCAAATACCTAGCAATACTGAGCAAATCCTGAGCAAATACTAAGTTGAACCGAGTTGTACCGAGTTGTACCTAGTTTTTTCTAGCAATACCGAGCAAATACCTAGCAATACCGAGCAAATCCTGAGCAAATACTAAGTTGAACCGAGTTGTACCGAGTTGTACCTAGTTTTTTCTAGCAATACCGAGCAAATACCTAGCAATACCGAGCAAGTCCCTAGCAATACCGAGCAAATACCGAGTTGTACCGAGTTGTAGAAAAACTTGGTACAACTCGGTATTTGTATAGTTTTGGTCTTCACAGAGCGGTATTTCTTGTTTTTGCAAAGCAATACCGAGCAAATACCGAGCAATACCGAGAAAATCGCGAACATAGCATTCTCGGGTTCCGCTCCGGGTCAAGTCGTCGGGCTGCGCGGTAAAGAGTAAGAGCACGTGGTGACATGTTATTGGCGGCCGAACGTACCTCTACGTCAGGTCAGAGGACGTAATAATTGTTCCTCTCAATGTGCCCTAAATTAGCTCTCTCAATGCCGCAAAACATGTCATGCCCTCTTGCGAGCATCCACTAATCATGGGATTATTTAATGATAAAGATATTATTTTATATTAATAAGATTATTTATCATTAATAAATATTAACCATTTTAATTATAATTGAACGTATATATCACTCTTAGTAATCTACTAAGCTTTTTAAAAATTGAATTTATTGTTCACCTCTAATTATTTTGGATATAATTTTATCATTATTCAGAATTGCAAAGCAAACTTTCGAATGTTCTAAAAAAAACTAACTCAATTTTATACAACTTTCATTCTAATATAGATATCTTAACCTGAGAGATGTGCACTTGATTCAGTACTGATTTGATTGACTTAACTCAAATGTACAATTGCATAGCTTGGTCCCAATATTTTACAAAATTCTAATTGAAATGATTTTTTGGTATGTAATTGTTAGAGCGAAGCACAATTTGCTTGAACAAAATTATGATGTTTACCCGGAAGACAAAATTGAGAGCTATCATATTGGACTCAAATAGCTCGCAAGAAGTTCAAAAAAAAAAAAGCACTATTCATAAAGAATACAAAACATAGAGGGAAAAAAGAAAATAGCATAAGAGAAATGGAAAAAAAATAAAAACAATAAAGAGGCAGCATCAACCCATAGAACCTGAAAATCAATTAGAAACAAAAAGAGAGAAAAATAAGGCTAGGCCCAAATTAGAACGAATGGAAATGATTTAATCACATAGTAGTGGTTATAAGTACCATCATATGATTATGATTGAATGGCCTAGTCATATATGTCTTTTAAAGATGCCTAAACCTCTCAGCTTTATAAAAAACAGTAGAAAGGAATTTAAAACAAGGCATGAAAATGACTGATGCCTTATCACAAAAGAAATGAATCCCCCCCCCCCCCCCAAAAAAAAAAGCCGAACAAAAAAAATCAACAGTATAACCACTCATACTAATTTATTTTATAGTATTCATCCCTCTTCTAAGACTAAAATAAAATCAAAAGAAAAAAGGGTTATTTTCAATAAATTACTTGTACTTTACTCCACAAGTAAGATTTTTTTTTTTTGGGAAATTTGGGCACAAGTAAGATTTTTGTGAAGCATACTTCAATGAAGGACAAATTTTTTCTGCAACAAGCCTGAAGATCACAGCGTGGAGTTGACTCTTTGTCTGATTGGACCAGACAAGTGGCAACGATGGCCCTTGATGTCGGGAAATTTTAATTTCATAATTTTTTTTAACTTTTTTATTATTTTAATTAATTAATTAATTAGCCGAAATACAGAACACTCACTTCAGATTACGAGAACATGACAAGGAAAAAAAAACATACAATTAATCATTAAACAGCTCACCTAATCTAAAAAAAATTACAAGTTAAATTTATAATCCCAGCTTCGTTGAAAACAAATAGGGCAAGAGAAAGAAAGGAGTAGATAATAAAATACCCAGCTGAACCAACCAAAACACCTACCAGGCCGAGCTATTTCAGGTGAAAAAGTAGACACCACAGTACAGGGCAGTGCTGAAAGTTTCAAGGTGGAGAGGAAGATGATATTGGAAATTCTGCACAGAACATTCATGACAAATGAAATAGAAACTTATATATAGCTGGGCTACAAATGAAGGAAACTCATACTTGTGCACAGAGCTTTCTCTTATCTAAATGACAAATAGAATACAAACTTATAAAGGGCTACAAATGAAGGAAACTCATACTTAAAAAAAAAAATTGAGAAGAAACCAGAATTTGATGCCTATACTGTGGCAAGTTCTCTAAAAATGACAGAAAATATTGATAAACAAGAGAAATATTCCACAAAGGTCAAGTCTTAGAGGATTTACAGAACCCATCACCCTTTCTCCTCCTCAAAGAACACAACTTTCATTTTTAACAAACCAACACAACCCATGAACCCAAAAACAATAATAAAACATATACTTAACCATTAAGAGAAACCAATCAAGGAAATAACAGAAAAAAATCAACCTTTAATCATAAATCACTCCCACCATATACTTTCCTTCAACTTTTTCACAAGTTTTTGAATCTTCACTGATCCATTTTAGGCAAAAAGTATCACCTCAAGCAGATTCAGTGGTGCCCCTAGTCTTTGATCTATAGAGGAGCTTCTTCTTCTTGGTGGTAGCATTGTCAATGTTTAGAATGATCTTTCCAGGCTCACCTACCTTGAAGCTGTTCTTTATATATGGTTCATCAGCAGCCGAGAACTTCCTAGCCTTCTGCACAAGCACTGTGTAACCTTCCTCTGAGCTTGGAACGAACTCAGCACTGTAGGTCACATCCCATCCTAATACTCGGAGCTCCCAAACAAGAAGAGATGGCTATCAAAAATAGAACAAATTTATAAAATCAGAAGTATAATGCAATCCTTTGACTGTTGTAAAGGGAAGAAGAGAGGATTACCCACCTCAGAAGATGGCAACTCTATAACATGCTTGCTTGACGGCTTAATGATGACCTCAGTAACAGCATCAGAACTAGTGAAATCTGGATCATTATCCTTGCTCAGACCTCCATATTGAACAGGAACATGTTCTGGAGCTATGTATCTAGACAATTTCATAGAACGGAGAAGTTTTGAGAGGAGCACGTGTGAATTCTATTTTAGTAATAGGAGCAAAACCATCTTCCTTTTAGGCGTTTTCATTGGAAAAAAATTGAGCATTTTCTTGAAAATGATGCGTGGTTTCATTGAAATGTAATAAAATTGGTTGTAGGAAATATGGCAACAAAATATATTATAACGCTCGAGCTAAAAATAATAAATTATGTGATCTCTCAAATATGTTAAATAGAATGACAGCACCGTATACATACAACTTTATAAGAGGGTGAGCTTTACTATCATGCATTGCTCATTGTTTTTCTTCTCAGTTACAGCCAGCATTTGTATCAAAGATTGCATTGCAAAGAGGAGACAAAGCAAACGGTCTTTCTGTGGGAGGATTTATGTTTAAGTTTTTGTTTTTTTGTCAAAACTAGGGATGCGAATGATCTAATTTTAGCTGTTCCAATCCCTGCTCGAAAGCAAGTAGAGAGCTTATATAAGTTGACTAAAAATAGGCTTCTGGATCAAACCAACTCTATTTAAAGCTGGCTCAGTAAGAAACAGCTCAGGCCTGTGCCAGCTCAAAATTTTTTATTTTCCTAATTTTTCATTAAAAATTTTCTAGACATGCAACATATTATAGTCATAGACTTCTAAATTACTCATTAAGGCTTCGTTTGGGACGGCTTTTTTAGTGCTTTCTAAAACGGAGTTTTAGTACAAAATTTTTTATTTTTGTACTAAAATTCCGTTTTAGAAAGCAATAAAAAAGCCGTCCCAAACGAAGCCTAAGTCTAATTTAAGAAAAAAAAAACAAGAAATAGAATATAAACTTAAAGCCATTCATCAATTTTACCAAGCATATGTGTTGTTGCTCATACTTCTCTAATAATTTAAAACTATCATATAATTAATTATAAGAGTTTTTAAATGGGAGACCAACACAAAATGCCCATAAATTGGGAGTTTTCAATGTAAAAAAGTCCATTGACTAGGCATTTTAAAGAAAACGCCCAACATTTTGGTGTTTTCTTACAAAAAAACACCTTTAAAGAAGGCTTTTTTGCTCCTCTTAAATCTTTTTACCTCGCTCTAATACCTAAGATAGCTCACGATAACCCAATTAGAGAAAAAAGATTCAAGCTATGAAGATGACAAAAGAGTTATAACCTGAAGATAGTTTCTGCAGATTTGGAAGGACCAGCAAAAACAAATTTGCTCTTAGTCCTCTGCGTAAAAAATGGACTCATCACTCGGTTATATGCAAGGTACCACCATGGAACATTTATAAACACCTACAAAAAAAATTAAGAAAATTAAAATATCAATTAGCGTAATTCAGAATAAATAAAATAACTAAGTAAAATGCAGTTAAAATAAGTAAAAAGTTCAGGAGATGGTCAGAAGAACAATCCAGTATTGATTAAAAAACAAGAAGGAAATCATGTACTCAATCAGGTATCTATTATTTGCTAACATTTTTAGCGAAATCACAGATCAATCAAATCTAACTTAATCAATTGACATCAAAACAATAAAAAATCACTGAAGAAAATCATGATTCAAATATTATATACATACCTTCTTATCGAATATGCAGAATTATTTATTTCCTCAAAAAAGTGAAAATAACTCCAATTTATAGATATAATCAGGTGAGGATGAAGCATGTGAATAGCATTGTATAGCATCGAAATTGATTATTAAAGTATCCTAATAATTTAAGCCAATTCTTTTGTAAATAAACTTATTATACGAGAAGTTGCACAAACCTGCTTGGCCACAAACTCAGGATAATTATCCTGGAGTAGGGCTAAAGCCTTCTTGGTGGCCTGCCGGAGTTCTTTCTTTCCTGGTCCTGGGACGTTCTTAAGATCCGTAACCTGCACCATAGTGCAAACTCCTTGGGGAGAGAAATCCAGTTGCTGCCTAATCCCCTTCTCCAGGAACTGAATTCTCCACCTCAAGAACTTCTCTCTCTTCTCTTCATCCCCAAATGCCTTAGCATAGAGTTCCTGATCCTTGAACTCTCCATAAACATTATAGCAGACAGGGTGACCTTCCTTGTCTTGCCCATGGTAGAACACCACCTTCTTAAGCTCCGGCACTGCCAGGTCCTCCTCCAGCAGGCTCTCGATGCCAAATTGCTTCCTCCAAATCACAGCGTTCTTGATCATGGCCAGAGCATCCTTCACCTTGAAATCCCTGGCCCTGAGAAATTTCAGCAGGACAGTATCACTCTTTTCGTCTCCAACAAGAGGAACTCCCCAAATGAACTCCTCTGCTGGAGGAGCCAGCGGGGCCTCAACTGACGCTGGAGCTTCAGGCTCCTTAATATGTTCTTTCTCGGTCTCTGCCTCTGACGCCTGGGCTACCTCTTCAGCAGCAGGTGGAGGTAGGGTTACAGGTACAACGGTCTCCTCGATAGCTTCCACAGTCTTTGCCCCGTCATCGTCAACCACCACCGCCTTAACCTCCACGGACTCAACGACTTTGGGTTCCTCTGGAGCTGAAGAGGTAGCAGCCTCTTCGGTCTTAGGGGCTTCCTCTGAAGTTGACGTGGTGATGGGCTCTTCCGCCTTGGTCTCCACCGGCGCAGTCAACTCAGCCTTCACCGCGGGCTCCTCGGCAACGGCAGGTTCTTCTACCTTGGCCTCAGATGCCGGGGGCTCCTCCGATTTTGGAGGAGGTGGAGGTGGGGGGTTGAATTCGTTATTAACAAGGGCGGCTTGGATGAACTGCTTGAGCTCATCAAGGGCTTTCTTCTCGGGCTCCAGCAGATCGCCGACGAGATTGCTTTCCTCCTTGAAGGAAGCCGACTGCTCAATAACAGCCTCCGTCTCTTCCGCCGTTGCAGCCGGCGCTACCGCATCCGCGGCCTCCTTCTCCACGGCCACTTCGGCCGGAGCCTCCTCAGTTGGTTTCTTCGTCACCTCCTCCGCCTCAGCTGTTGCCAACACCGGCGGACTCTTTTCATCGCTTTTCGCCTCGGGTACCACAAGCTCCTCTTCCGGCGCCGTATCCGAAGCCTTCTTCTCCGTTTCCTCGGCCATAACTGCAGATCAAACGAAAGACGAGATAGAGAGCTAGAAAGGCTAGTGAGAGATAGAGAAAGATTAGGTTTGGAGGCCTGGAAGTGGAAGGAGAGAGAGAAGAGATAGCATTTTATATAGAAAGATAAAGTCGGTACAGTGTAAGAGAGAAGGGGATAAACAAGGAAGACCAGTCTGTCAGAAGCAGAAGGCCAGCGGTGTTCCCAAGTAATGGGCCCCACGGTAATGAATTCGAACATTTTTTTGATATTTAAACTATGTAAATAACATAAATTTTATTACAATAATTTAAGTACTTTAGCCTATTAATAGAAGATTAATATTGATTAATGGTGGTGTTATTTGTAATGGGAGTAAAGCCACCGTACGCAGTGGAATATCGATTTTAACGTTACACTATGCGCCGGCAAATGGCAACTGGGTTATTATTTATTATTATATTAAAAAAAAAAACCACATTTAATTAAACGGTGAAAGCGAATTGAATAAATAAGCTATGATGAATTACTCATAATAAAAAAAATTCAGATAATCAAAAGATAAAAACAAAAAATTAACGAGTCAAAATAGTTTTTTTTTAAATCAATTTCAAATTTATCATCAATATAATAAATGACTTATCTTGATTTATTAGTTGAGAATTTCAATTATCAATCAAGAAATCCCGAATTTAGAATTTACATATGTAATATACTTGTAAATTTATCTAGACAGTCAAAAAAAAAAAAAACTTATCAACAATCAAAGACTATTTCAACTAGGAAAAGAAAGATAAAAAAAAGGAAAAATAAAATAACTCAAGAGAATAATAAAAAACATTGCTCCCATAAGGTGCTAATTTCAATGTATTGATTATTAATTATTAATTTTAATAATTTTAATTAAATTTCTTTAAAAGTAAAAAAATCCCAGTTAAAATACATTATTATTTAAGAGTGATGTAAAATTATTCTCCTCTAAAAAAATTTTAAACAGCCAAAAAATTATCAAATTCGTGCACACAAAAAATTATTCTCCTTCCAAAAAAAGGGATTTTATAAAGATAATAACATCAGTTCATGCATGGACGGAAAGTAATATCTAATAAACAAATAATTTATGTTTAGTATGAAGCCTGAATTAGGGGATATCCTAATTGAGAATTTCAAAAACATTAACAATCCATGAGTCATCATGTTTCTATCTTTTAAGCTTTTGAAAAATTTAATACTTAATGATTGGTAATATATTTTTGGGTTTATTAAAACTATATATAAGACTAAGGAAATATAATTTTAAACCAAATAATACTAATCAATGCTCTCATTATGAGTACATATCATTTTTAATCATATTATGGAAATGGCAAAATGAGTTATGATCAAAACTTATATTAAGCATGTATGTGGTAGAAAATATTGTCCATCCGCAAAACTTTTCAAATGACTCATCTAAAATATGACAGCAAAAAAAAAAAAAAGTTTGTGAGTTTCATTTAATCCACTATTAGTGATATGTAGTTATAAGATCATTGAGAAATGTCTTGGCAGTAGGCATAGATTATAAGATTCATTTTTCTTCTTTGAGTAATGCAAGCATATGAAACTCACAAGTATGTGGTTTCACATGTTTGCACATGTGTCAATGCATACATAATACATAACCTTGAGTTGAACTAGTATATACATTTAGAATGGTTGGATTCTTATAATACATCACCAAACCTCGTGTACATTTAGGTCATCTAGGTTATATTGAGATCATACAACTCATTCTCTTCTTACTGTAAAACTATCTTACGTGACACTCAACTTTCGTGGCTCTAAGAATTTGTTTAGCTGGTGCTATACAACATACCTTGATCGAAAGATGTAAGTCTTATTATCATCTATGTGTTACACATTTATTAATATTAAGCATTTTGGTGAGTATTTACCTAAAACTAAGCCCCTTCATTGCATTTAGGAATTTTGATTGCTCAAAGATATATAAGCTCAATCCCAGCTTCAATTTTTTATTTTGAGTAAATTCCTTCTCCAATTACAAGAATAAATAACACTCATGTCATACAATCAAGAACTTCTTAAGATGATATTAATGTTCATTGGGAGAATTTCAAATTAACTTTTTCTTTAGTCGTTATTGAATTTTAGTTTTAGTACCCCGCTAAAAAACTCTAGGTGTGATTCTTCTAAGAATGTTAATGCTAACATGGCATAGTCTCATATGCCAACACAGAACTCATCTATCTTGGGCTATATGAAACAAACTTCTTTAGACCTACCCATACTATTCAGATCAAATATGTAGACATTATTCACTTGTTTACCTTCTAAAAATATTTTTTTTTTTCATTCAAAGCAAGCAAACATTTGTTATTTTTTTTCATTCAAAGCAAGAAAACATTTGTTAGAAAAAAAAATTATGTCAAATCTCTTATCACATAGTAGACTAATGCTCAATAGAATACTATGCTTTAGTCTATTTACTTGTTGGGCCTTTCCAAAGGTAAAAGAATTATCTTATTGACATTACTTGATTTGATTATCTTTTATGTGATATTATTGCAAAGGGTCTCCTTTCCACCACTCTTGAACTTAAGCATAATGAATATGCTCTTATCTTTAGGCATGTGATTTCAACACATATTGTTCAGGTACCAAAATTCTTCACTGGTCTTATTGTGAAGGCACACCTACAAAAACATGCTAAGCTATGACCTTAAGAGTCTAAATTAACTTGGGTCTCATTATCACATCCCAAGATAAAATTAAAATAAATATTCTTAATTATAGTTTATTTCATCCATAATTAAAAACATAGAGCCCTCTAATTTTATTCATATAATAATTAACATACATATACATCAAAATTGCATTCACCAAAAGAATCGTGTACAACAATGTATTACAATATTCACACACAATATCCCAACAAATATTAACAACTAGATTGTCAAAAGAACATTTATAAATGGAAACATACCTATAGTCTTAACTTTAAACTTTTCAATTATTTTCTACTCAGTTAGGGCTTTATCATTTCCTAAAATTATATGTAAATAACATAGGATGTGCAAACACTTGCTCAATAAGCTACATGAAACCTACTGAAGAATTTAATGTTCAACATTTAAACTAAATTAAACAATAGCAAAATATTATCTAAATATAAAGTTAAGCGTTCAATTAAAGTTGTATAGTGTTTAGGTTGTGTTTTCACTAAAATGATTATAACAATACTATTAGTGTCAATAGTATGAACATGTCCAAGGAAATAATAAAAATATTTCTTGAAATTAAACGTGGCAATAGCATGAGCATCACTTGAACATGAACTTAACATCAGAATAAAACACATGATGAAACATAATATACAACATATGAATCAAAATATGTTTTTGCATAACACATTAAACATATCATATTTCATATATCACATTCCCCAATGTCTCTTTATACCTCCACTTCTAAATATACCTCAACTTATATACATGTCCCTTAAGAGTTCATATTTCACATTTCCCAATGTCCTTTAAACCTCCACTTCCACTTATACTTCCAATAGTATACATGTCTCTTCATAGTTCATATGTCATATCTCTTGAAACTTCTTTATACCTCCACTTGATCATATCATATTTGTTTGAGCGTATCAATACACATATGGACATTTACATAAATACATAGGCCCTTCTACCTCCACTTGTATACATGTGACATTTTCACTAATGGACATTAACATTTTTAATATTCTTGTCTTATCACAAATAAATTCAAGCATATGGGCATAAAAATAACAAAACTTCCAACATGTATAAATAGAGTTTAACATATCAAAAAATAAATAGAATACACATAAGCATCAAGAATAAGTAACTACTACTACTCGATACTAGAACATAAAGATATAATTCTTTATCTTTTTACACACCATTCCTTATTCATAAGTATGAAAACATTATCTTTTCCCTTTGGTACACATTTCAGACATATCAACATAGAATATTTAAAACATTGACATATATAAATAGTAATAAAAAAGGAAGTAAAGCTATTCAATTAAATTAGTATGATGCTTATGTAATGTTCTACCACTAACATGATTATAACAATACTACTAGTGTTAACAATATGAACATGTCAAAGGCAATGACACAAACATTTCATAAACTTGAACATGGCAACAACATGAACATCACTTGAACATGAACTTGTCATTACAACAAATTACATGATGAAACATAATATTTAAATATCAATCTAAACATGTTTCACTTTTATATAACACATTTCAACATATCAGATTTAACATATCACATTTTTCATATTTCACATTTTATAATGCCTCCTTATACCTCTGCATCCACTTATGCCTCCACTTGTGTACATGTCCATTCACAGTTTATATTTCATATTTCATGATGCCTCCTTATACCTCTACTAGATCATATCACGTTTGTTTGAGTGTATCAACATATATAGGGTCCTTATACCTCCACTTATGTACATGTGAAATATCCATCATTGGCCATTAAAATTTTCACTCCCCTTTTCTATCACACATAATTTCAAGCACATTGGATAGAGATAATAGAATTTTCAACATGTATAAATAGATTATATAATGTTTCACAAAATGAATAAAATACACATAAGCACCAAGAATAAGTCACTAATTATACTTCTTGATACCCGAATATAGAGGTATCATTCTTTCCCATTTCAAGCATGATGGCCTCATTTTTTTTTTTTTTTGAGTGAGGCGAATTCTTCAAACCTAAAATCTCATCTCCATATGTAAATCATTGAATTTCATTCCAAACTTCAACTTCAATTCATCATTATACATTGGTATAGTAATCAAATCATTGATTCCAAAATCATCACTTGATAGACATCGTTTATTATCATATAAACATATGATTAATCACTTGATAGTCATCATATGATTGTCAGTGATATGATCATTTCAAAATCAAAACTTCTTCCAATCATTGACCTTCACAATCAACTCAAAACTTGAAGAAAAATCAAACTGAAAATCCTTCATTTGATAGTCACTAATTGTCACCAGGTCATTTATTCAATCATTCACAATCATCAATTATCAATGATATGAGCAGACCAAATACAAAACTTCTTCAAATCATTAA